CCTGAGAGGAACCCGGCCACACAAAGGGAGGTGAGCGGAGGGCGAGCAGGTGAAGCTGCATCTGTATCTGCAGCCGCTCCCCAGCGCCAGCATCACCGCCTCAGCTCCGCCTCAGATCCTCAGGCTTTCGGTTCTCATAGGAGCACTGGCCTCTGGTACCAAAAAGGTTGGGGACCGCTACCTTAGAGAATTATATTAAAAATCCATATAAACCATCCCATCTACATCACTAATCAGCTGTGAGTCTCTGGTGTGGGTGGAATGTAGCAGCTGTCAGTTGTTACAGAATTTGTTCATTGATTCCTTTGTCTGTGTGTTCATTAACAGGCACTTAGGTATTTATTTTCACCTTTCTGGTTATCGGGCTAAGTGCTAGATCCAAATGAGTAAGATCTGAGCATCATTAGGCTCTCAAGGGACCAGTGAGTAGTATTCCTTTTCTCCCCTGAATTCTGAAAGTTGGAAAAAGAGACAATAAGATACGAGAACCAAAATATTACCTTGATTTCTGATAAAGACCCGCTTGAAAGGTGAAACTTGCTTTAAGAGCCAAATGAGCCATCCCAGTTATCCAGTCATAGCCATCCCAGTTATCCACCCATCCAGTCATAGTCAACTTTGCACTCGTCAGGCCACCTCACATGGGGACATCAGAGAACAAGTTTCCTGTGGACGAGTTTACTCACAAAGGTGGCGGGGCTGGCGGGTTGGGCTTGGGAGTGGCATACGCAGGGTGCACATCATTGGCTGGTAGACCACTAAAAGGCTTTGCTTTTTCTAAGTGGAAACGGATGCCACGGGAGGGCTAAAGCCAAGGGGCGACATAGCAGGACTTAGCTTTTACAAGGATCACTAGTTACTGGGTTGAGAAGACTAGAAAACCAAGGAGCAGAGAGTCGTAATCATCGTGGTCTGGGTGAGAAGGGATGGCGGCTTGGGCCGGGGACATCGTGTGCAGGCGTTGGTAGTGGTGAGATTCGGAATATAATGTTAAGGTAAAACGAACAGAATTTGCTGAAGAAGTGGATGATGGACATGAGCAAAAGAGCAGAGTCAAGAATTTTGACCTGCGCTATTGGAAGAGTGAAATTTCCCGTTTACCAAGGACAGTCGGTTTGGGGAGGGAGTATCAGGAACGCAGTTGTAGACTTCTGTTTGAGCTGCTGTTAGAATCACCAAGAACTTGTGTCTAGAAAGAGGCCACTCAGTAACGTGCCCTGGACCTCTTCTCTACCTGCACGTTTCTCTGGGCTTCTCATCTAGTCTCCTGACTTCCTGTGTCATCTGTATGCTGACAGCCACCAGATGTACACCTCCGACCTCCATCTGTCTGCTTAGCTCAGACCCACCTATCCGACTGTCTCATTCAGGTTCCCCTGGATGTCTGCGGAGGAGAGTTTTTTGATAGTGATACAGGGCCCGGCACAAATAAGATGCTCAGATATTTATTGAATGAATATTGTTTTTAATTCTTAGACTAACCTTGTGAATAGGTGTGATTGTTATTAAACAGAAATACATTGATTCAGTCTTGGGTAAAATAAAAGAAATTATAGGATACAATTGCATTTACATTAAGTTCTTTGAATTTTCCATACAATAAGGGAAAGGATGTTAGAAAATATATATTTACTGATTTTAGATCATAAGAATATTTACATTTATGTCGGCTCTTTTATTATTTTTACAAAGATGAAACAAAAGCTTTCTGAGATATATACATATTCTTCCTGAGCTTTTCGATGCAGAGTTCTTTGGGAACATACTCATTCTGAACGATTCCTGGTTAAATACACTTGTTTTTCAGGGAGTGGAATTTCTTTAAATTGTAAATGATCTGTTAGCCTGACCCACAGAAAAATCATGTGGGCTCTTTCTCAGAAGAGCCTTTGACCTTCGTGTCTAGTTTACTTCAGCTTTTTGTTGAAGTATGCCATGTGTCAGAAAAGCGCATCTGTCTTAGGTGTGCAGCCTGCAGAATTTTTACAAATTGAATGTACCAGATTGTACTTGAATGTACTTGATTTCAGACAAGAAACAGACCTTAGCTCACTCCCTCATGTCCCCTGCCAGCTACCACCCACCGTCAAGCATAACCACTCTCTTGACTCTTAAAATCATAACTTTGCCTGTTTTTGTATTTATATAATCGGAATCATACAGAATACACTTTTTTTGTGTGTGTTTGGCTTCTTTCTACCTTTGTGAGAAACATTCATGTTGTGTTGTTGTGTGTAGGTGTAGATTACTCGTTTTTATGCTACATAGTATCCCCATGTGTAAAGGTGCCACAGGGTGTTGAGTCTGCCACCAGCAGGCATTCGGGGGATGCTGCTTTGAATATTCCCGTATGCGTCTTAAGATGAGCTCACATAGGCCGTTCTCTCTCCGGGGTGTCTGCCTAGCAGTGGGGCGGCCGGCCGAGGGGAGCAGGTTCGGGTGGAGAGTGCCCCCTGCGTGTCCCCCTCGCCCGCGCTCAGCACTTCCCGTTTTCCCTTTAGCCGTCGCAGTGTGTGGGGGGTGGTGCCGCTTTACCGTTTTGTTATTTCTTGGTGACGGATGGAGTTGGGCACCTTGCCGTCTGTTTATTGGCCCTGTGGATTTCATCTTCTGTGACGTGTCTGCTTAGTTCCGAGTGCTTCTCACCTCTGCCAGTTGTGCAGGTGAGGCGACAGTGGCGGCTCCGTCAGATGAGCCGGATCCAAGGAGAAGGCGGGTTTCTCACGCAGGAGGGAGGCCCCGCGGGCCCGGCCCCTTCCCCGCGCTCACCTCTTCAGCTCCACCCCGAGCCTCGCTCTGGCACAGTCCCACTGGCCTGCGTCCAGCTGCAGGCAGCTGGATGGGATCTTATCAAGTTCTGATGCTCATCCTCTTGATCTGCCAGGTCCACTCCTAGAGGCACGTAGCCTGCTCAACCAAATGCACGAACACACCGAAGCCAGGAGTCTCCTCATCCGGGTGCCCAGAGCGGCGGGCGTGAGGGGTTCTCCGGTGCGGCTCTGTGCGAAGGGCGGGCCGGAGGCCGCAGTCAATGGCCTGGTCGCGTAGGCCGTGGCCTGCCTGTCCCCAGAACTTCACTCAGCCGTCCCCTGCTCGCCTGGCAGCGTGCCCACAACGTAGTGTTACAGGGAAAACAACTTCAGCTCCTCCATATGTGGAGTCGTGAGGGATTTTCACTTTCTGCGTTGTATGGCTTTGCAGTACTCTTAATTTTTATAATGAGGTGTTTTACTCTTTGCTGCAAAAGAAAAAAAAGGCATTTAATATTTCCATTGGCGCCCGCAGCAGTGCCCTGGTCGTCGTCAGTGGGCTCCCCAACCAGATAGGGAATAGGGACGGAGTTTCATGCCGGAGGAGCCGATGGTGCTGCAGAACTCCAAATAGTATTTCCCCACTATTTTAACGTGAATATTCAAAGTTCTGTATTAAGTAAGACAGAGGATCTTTTAATTGGAAATCGTTGGGAAAAAATGAATCATCAGGTTGCTCTCCATCATCCCAGGCTGGGATTATTTTTAGCTTTGGCCGTAAGTGTTGGCAGAGGCCTGGCGGTAACGGCAGTGGTCGCCATTTACTGAGCATTTGCTATATGTCAGGTCCTTGGCTAAGTGCTCTGCCCACAGGGTCACGTTTAGTCCTCACAACGACCGAAGAGGTAGGTCCTGAGGTTATGCTTGTTCTGCAGACGAGGAATCTTCGACTCAGGCGAAAAGCTTGTCCAGGGACCTGGCTGAGCTCAGGCGAAAACACAGGCTGCCAGACTCCCAGCCCGCGGGCCGCCTGCCGTGGCTGTCACCCACCTGCCCGTCCTCTTATGTTTACATTGGTCCGTAAAATTCTACATACGTAAAAATCTGAAATCCTTGTGTGTAAAGAAGTGCCCCTGATGTCCTCAAGTCACCCCTCCACTCTAGTTGTCCTTTCTGTACATTCGGGAAATGGGGCGTGTGGATTGGGTGAGTGGGACTGGACAGACGGAAGCCCTTCCTGGTCGTGCCGCAGAGTATGCTGCTGGTAACGACGGGGACAGCCATGGTGTTCCAGCAGACTGTCACTGCCTCCGAGTGCTGTCCACCATGACCCTGACTTCGCGGTGCCTCGTATGGTTGATATTTAGAGACTCCCCCCATCCCGGGCGAAATTAAACCCTGACAGAAACCACTACTAAGTTGGGATCCCAGCTGCTGCTGCAAGTGACATCTGAAAGGCCAGTTGACGTGCACATTTGTCAGCCGCGGGCAGAGATCCTTGTTACGCCTGGCCAAGGGGCAAGCTGAAAATCACCCAATGAAATACACCTGGCAGACTACGTGGGACGAACTTGGTCGGCTTTGGTGTGTTTGTTTTTTCTTGAGATGGGATTCTGTGACAGGCTTCGTGCTTGTCCTCCAGCCTGTCCTTTTTCTCTCCGGGTAGCTGACATTCACCTGGAGGTTACAGCCTGTGACTGTCACCCCAGGAAGTGCCTGCTCTTAGTAGCATCATGGCCATTTACACAAATTGTGAGGCCATGGAAGAAATGACTAGCAGATTAGTCACTGGAAGTTCTGACCTTCGCGGCGTAAATGCCACACTGAGCCGTGGTCTGAGGCTTTGTTTTCTGAAGTTCTATCAGTGACCTTTGAAGTCACTCACAGATCTAGTAGATCATAGTCAGATGCCGGCTTATGGCATTTCCACGTGGAGGGTGTTCACTTCCTTTGGGTCGATGTGGCCAGATGGGAGGCACGTAAGTCTGGCCATCTCATGTGCGTGGGGGTGTGGAGCAACTGGGACCTTACTACGAGGACTGCAAAGTGGCACAGCCACTGGCAACATCCATAAAGTTACATATGGCGTATACTCTGTGATCCAGCCGTTCTGGTCACAGAAAACTCTTGCACGTGTTCCAGGAGACGTGTGAGCGTGTTCATAGCAGCGCTGTTCGTAGAAGGTGGAAGCAAACGTCCACTGGCAGGAGAGGATAACTAAAACTGGTGTTCTGGACTGCCGCCGCGCTGGAAGCGAAAGCTCTCATGCGAGCGTCAGCGCGGTTACGTCAGACGCACTACCGAGTGAAAGAACCAGAGCAGGAGAATGTTTACAGTACGCCGCCATTTACGTCACGCTCACAGACGTGTAAGTTAAACTACACCCACGAATGGTCACAAAGAGTAAGGGCCGATCGGCACAAAAATCAGAACCATGCTTACCTATTGTTGGGTTTATTGGGATGTAACCCATTGTAAGTCGACGAGCATCTGTACATATATGTATGAAATCTTACAAAACAATTCGTTTTTATTTCGATACTAGAAAACCTAGAAATACACGTATACAAAATCTGACGTGTAACTTTCTAAGTGGATAGTCAGAACGTGAGGGCGGTCGGTGAAGCTGCCTGACGCTGCGGTGCTATAGAGGCGTTTCCCTGGCATCGTCCCCCACCGCAGATGATTGACACGTGAGAGCTGTAAGGAGAGGGGCGGGGTGGGGGAGGGTGTCTGGTGCCGTCGACAAGACTACCCTAAGCCAGCTGCCTCCTGTCGCTGCCTCCCGCCCTGCTAGCACTGGTCACTGGAGAGCCTTATCAGCACTCAAGTGTATAGTTTGACCTTGCACGTCACCTGTAACATGTATCTCTAACCCAAGGAGGCGGTGACAGGCAGCCTTGCTCTCCGGAGTCGGGGAGGTTGGTCTTCATCACAGAGAACCTGCTTTTTCCCACTTGGTTGGTCACGTCACGTGCCAGCGCCAACTGTTCCGAGGCCTTCATGGACTCTGAGGGGAGAGATTTATTGGTAGATACAGCACTTTAAGCGCTGGTGTCGAGTCGCAGCCGAGTCCCAAGACAGGTGGAGTCTTGGGCTGTGGCTGGCACAGCAGAGGTGGAGAGTGGACACTGGGTCACGATCAGGGGTGCCCTGCACGTGCGGGAACCTGAGAGGTGTTTGGGGCCCTCCACACCTTATTTGCTGACCCTAGTTCCGCCACTGGTTGTGCTGGCAGAGATGCGAATCTGCCCAGCCCCCTGGGCCCCACGCCTGCCCCGCAGCAGCGGAGGGCAGCAGACGGGGGAGGCGGAAGCCGGTCGCCCAGCCCGGGTCCCTGAAGGTCTTTGAGCACCGCGGGAAACCAGAGGAGCCGCGGACACTGCCCTCCCTTCCCCATGCGTGTCTGCTCTTCTCGCCCTGCTTTCGGCCGCACTGGTCCGCGTGGGAGTCGCACAGACGAGCATGTGACTCTGACATCCCATCAGACTTGGGAACCCGCCCGGTGACGGATGTGCTGTGACTTCAGGGCTGCCGAGGCCAGCGGCAGAAGGAGTGGGAGGGGGCAGCAAGAAGGGCCGCGCAGAAGGAGGCGCCGAAGAGGGCTCAGGCCAGATTGGGACTCCTGGTTGGCACTGAGCGGAGAGGGCAGAGGGCATCCGCCAGGTCCTCGGTCGCTCGGGACCGTGAGTTAAGTATTTGGCGCTGCAGAGCAGCGCGACTCAGATCTGTAAGCAGGTGCAGACAAGAACTCAGAGCCGAAGCTGTCCACCTTGCTGCCCTTCCATATAGTCAGGTCGGCGAGCTCCCTGAATTGAGCAGGTGCCACCTGCCTGCACTTGGATAAGTACCTATCGCGTTATCCACAGGCAGAACCCCATTTAATCCGTGCATCACATCAGCCATCTCAAGAAGAACAACGTTGTCAGCCTCAGTTTTCAGACAAGGACTTAGGTCACTTTGAAGCATTGTAACCTAAATAATATGACTACAAAGCTCAACCTTTTAACCACCACATGAATGATTAGACCAGTCACATCATTTTGGAGTATAAAAAGGGCAGTATAAACTGTATAGAGGACCACCCTGCTTGGGTGGGGACGGGGAACAGCACAGCAGGGGGAGATCGAGAAGCCGTAGCTTCCCAGTTTGCCCACTTTGGATCCCCGGAGTGACTGCAGGAAACAAGGGCTGATGTGGAGCTGTTCCGGGTGAGATGCCAGGTGCACCAGCTTCCTTTGGATTTGTGTCCACTTTGGGGGCTGAAGGAGGGCTTCCTGCAGCTCTGGCCAGCAGACAGACCGCTGCGGAGCCCTGTGTGCTTCGACTCCATGTGAGGACGCAGAGCAGGCCCTGGCTTTTCTTTTTGGTCCGAATGCAGTGGGCTCCTAGATAATTGCGAAGAGCTGAAACTTTATCTGATCCTGCCCACTACCTGGAGGGTCTTTGACAAAGGAGTTGAACTTCAACCCTATTAAGTCACCTGCAACAATAGCAGACACAGTGACAGGCCTATATGTCATTTATTTGGAAGGGTTTTTTAGTACTAAATTGCTAGAAAAATTGGAAGGAGGGGTCCTATTTATTTTTAAAACGACAGATAGTTATTTTTTTCATTGCACAGGATTGTTCTGTTCCTTACTTTTCAACCAATTTCAAGTATTATTGTGAATTTCTGATGTTACCAAACGAAGCATTTTTTTTGTGTGGAATGTTTCTTGATTGGTCGATTCATTGAGCGAGTCATCTGAACATCTTCTGTGGGTCAGGCACTCCGTTAGCACTGGGGATGTAGGAATGAGTAAGGCAGGCACAGTCCTCGACGAGTTTGCATTCCTGTGAGAAGACAGACTCTTAGTAAATCACTTGATAAGATAGTTTCACACGCTGGAGAGAGCGGTGGTAAATGGCGAGTCGAAAGGCTGCTCAGTGGGTTTTCGTTTATTTTAAACAGCCTCATTGAGATAATTCACATATATGGTCGATTTGTTTAAAGTGTAGAAGTCGACTTTTTTTAGTAATGCACAGGGTTGTGCAACCAGCAGCAGATTCTGATTTTTGGAACATTTTTGTCCCCTACCAAAAGTAGCCTCATGCTCTTCAGCTACTAGCCCCTCTCCACTCCCCTCAGCTTTAGGTACCCACTCATCTTCTTTCTGTCTCTGTAGATTTGTCTATCCTGGACATTACAGTTAAATGCAATTACGTAGTACGTGGTCTTTAGTGACTGGCTTCCTTCACTTAGTGTGATGTTAACCAAGATTCACTCATGCCACAGCGCCTGTCACTAATTCATTTCTTTCCGTCACCTGATACTGTTCCATTGTATGGATAGACTGCACCTATTTATTCGTTCACGAGCACTTGGACACTTGAGTTGTTACCACCTTTTGGTTATTGTGAATAATGCTGCTGGGAACTTTCGTATGCGAGTCCCGTGGCCGTATGTTTTCGTTTCTCTTGGGCATATGGCTAGGAATAGGATCACGGGGTCATAGGGCAGCCGTGTTTGATCTTGTGAGAAATGGCCGGATGTTTTCCAAAGCAGCTGCACCATTTTGCATTTCCAGCACCTGCGAATGAGGGTTCCAGTCTCCCTAATCCTCACTGACACTTGGTATTATCTATCTTTTTGATTATGCTTGCTGGGTTTGAAGTGGTAACTTATGATGGTTTTGATTTGCATTTCCCTAATGACTAATGATCTTGAGTATCTTTTCATTTGTTTCTTGCACATTTGTATATCTTCTTTGGAGAAATGTCTGTTCAAACCTTTTGCTCATTTTTAATTGGGTTATTTTTCTTTTATTATTGAATTGTATGATTTTTTATATTTCCTGTGTTCAAATCCCTATCACGTATATGATTTGCCAATATCTTCTCCCATTCTGTAGCTTGTCTTTTTACTTTCCTGATGGTATCATTTGCAGTACAAATGGTTTCGTTTATCGAGGTATGATTGACATATAACAACATTATATTAGTTTCTGGTATACAGCGTAATGACTCGATATTTGTATATATTACAAAATGATCATCACAATAAGTCTATTAAAAAGTTTTTTATTTTGATGAACTCGTTTGATTTTTTCTTTTGAGGCTTGTGTTTTTGGTATTGTATCTAAGAAATCATTGCCAAATCCAAGGTCACAAAAATTTTATTCCTATGTTTTCTTCTAAGAATTTTATAGTTTTAATTCTTACATTTGGGTCTTTCATCATTTGGAGTTAATTTTTGTATGCAGTGTGAAGCAAGGGCCCAAATTCATTCTTTTGCATGTGACTATTTAGTTGTCCCAGCACCGTTTGTTGAAGATTCATTCCCCCATTGTATCCTTGTCAAAAATCGCTTGGCCAGAGACGCATGGGCATATTTCTGGACTCTCGATTCTGTTCCGTGGTTCTCTGTGCCCGTCCTTAGGCCGGTGAGATGCCATCTTGATTACTATAGCCTTGTAGCAGCAGGTTTTGAAACCAGGAAGTGTGAATTCTCCAATTTTATAATGTTTCTAGGTTGTTTTGACTATTCTGGGTCCCTTGGATTTCCATACTAATATTAGGATTAGATCGTCAATTTCTGCAAAAAAAAAATAATAATAATTAAAAAAAACCATCTGGGTGTCCAATAGGGATTACATTGACTCTGTAGATCAATTAGAGGAGTTATTGCCAATTCAACAATATTAAATGGGCTGTCCTAGTTATTCAGATCGTCTCTAATTTCTTTCAACAATGTTTAGTGGTTTTTCAGTGTCTAAGTCTTGTACTTATTTTAAATTTATGCCCAAGTATTTTATTCTTCTTGATGGTATTCTAAATGGAAGCTTTTTAAAATTTCATTTGGTAGTGTTCATTGCTACTGTATAGAAATGCACTTGGCTTTTGTATACCGATCCAAATCCTGTGACCTTGCTGAACTTGTTTATTGGTACCGATA